AGGTCACTAACTGTGAAATTAGATATTTAACTTGAATAGGAGGCGCCACGCTCCGTCGAGACTAGTTAAATCCCAAGAGTCGATTACTTTCTGCTCTCCCGCAGTAGTCGGCACGACAACAGCTTAAGTGGGTTGTTTTTACAGCTTGAGTGAGCCATTTATTAATACCTGGTTAAATAATTAATATTGCAACAATAAAAGGAAGTAATATTTTGATTTCAAAGGGAATCATTTATTTGATATCCCATAAAGTGGAAAAATAATATGAACAAACTAAATATAAATAACATATACAAACATGAAAATTGCAACAAAAGGTATCAGTAATCAATATTTTTCAAGGACCAATAGATTTTAAGTTAACTAGTGGCACTGGTATTGATGCTCAAAATATGTAACAGATGGTATTGCATTCTAAAATTAATTGTCAATCATGGGATCTGCATGACTGCAGGGGAAGATTTTACTCCTAAAATCTTACTCTCCCATATCCTGCCTTCTTTTCTTTGTTAATTTCTCTTATTTTTACCCCATCATTGAATTCTTCATTATCTTTATATGTCAAATAAACTTTTATTGCTGTTCTGTTATGTCTTTCCTCCCTTTTTAAAATCTATTAGTATTTTTCCCATCTTATAATACATCTCTTTACTTAGCCATCCTTCTCCTTTTAATTCTAACTCCATCTCTTTTCTTATTTCATCCCACATCTCCCTCAATTTCTTTTCCTCCTCTTTATCTTTTCTCTCCTTCCACTCTCTTCTAAATTTCTCAATGCATTTGCTGAACGTTTTATGGACAATTGTTCTTGGGAATCCCATGGATCTGGATTCTGCAGATAGTTTTCTTTCGATCCACTTTGTATTTCTTCCATTTCTGACTCCTTGTTGCCAATGTTACAGTCGGGGAAAAAATGGGGTTTTTGGGAGAGCGATTTATCTTTCGTGTAGGTGTGTTCGCCGACCGGGGGATGTTACCGGCTTAGCTCCTTACTCCGATAGTTGTGCAATTAAGACTGAATTAAGCCTCAAGTGACCTATTTTTATAATTAAATTAAATGCGCGCTTCTCAC